TCAGAAAAACAATCTTATTGAAGGCATATCTGGTAGATAGGCACTTACTAAAATGCCTCTTTGAAAGTCATGGAAACCCTTGCTCTTACCAGTTGTCTTACAGACCAATCCGCATTCATTGTGATAAAGCAGCAGCTTGACATACCATAAGGTCAGTTTATTTTACATATGCAAATAAACGGGGTTTTCTTTGAATATGTGTTTATGTGCTCTGTAGTACGTTCTAATAAAGTGTAGATTACATATTTCATAAGTCGCTTTCAATAAAGAAAAGGTAGTCAGTAAAATATTTTAGAATATGTAGTACAAAGCATTGCCAAACATAAGTTGTTATTAAACAAATGACTAAATTTCATTAAGGACAAGTAGGAAACATATCTTAGTGTAATAATTCAAATACATTTATTAATCTATAGACAAATATTACCAGTTACCATTTTTAATATCTAACATGTTCAACACCCAACAATTAAATATTGTAATAACAGCGATGTTCACGCAATTATTTGTAGTCAATTTTAGAAACACGTGATGTTGTTCCTGCTGGATATACACATGTAATTCTGTCACGGATTTAATGGCACGAGATCTGCTTGAAATAATATTTCAGTTGCTAGCCTACCACTGTTTTGGTAATATACATTCCAGACCATTGCAAGAACAATAAACCAGACACATCTATCTATCCAAATATAGTAGCTGTTTACTGGAGATTACTAATGCAATATTGCTCCACCATTAGGAGTATTTAGACAACATACGACATTTTATGACTTGCTCTACAATACGTGAGTAACATGCTTTCCTTGTTAATACATTCATATATAGTAAAGTGTAGAAATATCTATACTGTGATTGCATTGCAAAGCAATCCATCAACTAACCAGTCAACTAAAATGTTGGGCTTGAAATGAAAATTGTCTTAACTCTCTAGAATTGTCTAATATGTATTTAGTATGTTTTACACACTTACAAATCCTATTGAAATTTTACGATTTTTTTTTTCTACCGCAGTCGACAATAAGGTTCTGAATAAGGAAATGACTGCTTGCACTGTACAATCTCTCAGCACTTTTTCTTTAGCAGTGTATAAACTTGATAACAGTTTATAAGCCTTTGTGTGTATTAATTACACCTTTCGGATTTTACTCTATGACAGTGTAAGCAGCAGCATGTGAGTTTCCAAGAGATAGAGTAACTTATTAAATTGAGAACATTTGTTTTTACTTTATAATAATTAGATATTTATTTATTGCTTGGAATAAGAAAATATCAGTTTGAAAAAATCTATTTTATATGAAGAGCCAAGGTTTCATTCGAATCTTGAATCTTTTTTAGCATAATATTTATATATGTTTGCAAAAATAGTGATTTTCCTCACGGTAGTTTTCTTTCTTAACTAACCTGAATCAAATGTTATTTATAATGAAAATGAGCGTAGAAACATATACATTGAAACATTAGTTGAAAACCCGATTTACCATTATATACGTAGCAACCTTTTTCTATTGTCAGTGCAACATTTTTTTGTTCATTGCCATGACACAAACATTTTTGAAGAACTATGGGATTGACTGACACTCGTGAATCGAACAATCTGGATAAAATAAAAACATTATGCCCTCTTCTTGTTATTGAGCTTGAACTAAATAAAAAAGGCTGTACGAAAGCATGAAGTTTAACTTTGTCAATTTTGGGTCACAAGTTCAGAAATAAAGTATAAAACGTCTGCGGTAGAAGCGAAGAAACGGAGTCCATTCTTATCTGAATGGAAATTACTTGTACAAACAGAAATAAATTCATTAAAACTGAATTATACACTTAAATGCTATATTCACTATGAAAATTTACTGTATTGTTTCCAAAACCATTTCTGTGAGGATGTAATCAAGTTCCCCATACTGTTTCTCACTGTATGCTTCTTTTATAAATATTTTAACCTTTAATAAACCTGATTACATATACATTTTAAATTGATCTGGTTAAACACAGAGTCCCTATCTGTAGATAAGAGTCATGTATGGAACAAAGTATTGCAGTAATATTTACATATTGATTTGATGAGGTTTCTATACTTTGTTAAAGCAGTGTGTCTTTACAAAATAACACAAAATAACCCCAAATCTTCGGGTTAAACAGCCTACACGGCTTCAAAGTAAACTGTTGTTTTCTATTTGTGGAATTTTGGTTTTGTTCGGTGTATAAACTTCATTTTTAAGTTTGATGTTTGATTTCTTTAAACAACTGTAGGTGGGCAACGTTCACGAAATATCGTTCTTCTTTTAAGCTATTTTCCTGAACTGAATTAATTTTGTGAATGCAAGTATTTAGTCGAGGTATGAAATACAATGTTTACCATCAAGAAAAAACTAAATAAACATCAGTAAATTTTTACTTAATTAAACAATGTTAGTTAAAGCATAGAAGCACTTACAGGAAAATAAACATTTTATTTTGAATAGCTGTAACCATTGAAAGCTGTTGTTTTTTTCTGCAGAGACAGACTAGCTGCGCTGTTAATTTTTATCAATGTCAGGCTGTGTTCATTATCTATTAATATGCGGATGTATAATGTGCTTTCATTCTCCTAGTACGCTCATTTGAAATAGCATCTTTGAAAAAGGAAAGATATCTTTCCTGCATCAGTTTTCAATTTTTTTGTTCCATGGTGGGACAGAGGTAAGTCTTCGGATT